ACGCACAGGGCCTCATGCCTAAACTTATGTAGCTCCAATCCCGATTTCTGTTAACGTCAGCGGATCTAATAGCCATAACGGAAACGTGACTCTCCGACGACATAACCGAAGGGGAAAGTCAACTTCCTCACTTCGGTTCTCCACTCTGACCGCACAACCCCAGGTGGCGATGTCGCGCTGTATTATGACATCTCCCTCTGCTGCAGCATGTTAACAAACACTACCCTCCAGTCTCCAGACACCTTGTGGTACGCGGTCGTACTAACCGCCAAACACTCCAGCTGTCTAGGTCCTTTACGCCCCCCAACAACTCTTTCGAGAAGAACGCACGACCACTGCACGACGTCCACCTTATGTTATTCCACAAGCGCACACACTTTCTTATCATGGTTGATTTCAACCTGCAGCGTCTATTTCACACTGTCCCGTCTACTGACTCATTTGCATCAGACCTCACTGATCTTCTTCACACGGCCCCGTTGTACAACCACACGTATCAGCCGACCAGATTCCGATCCAACAACCAACCATCCCTGCTAGATCACATCCTCAGTAATGAAGAACTGATGGTTGAGCACGTCGAGTTTGAGGCCCCTTTGGTGCTTAGCGACCACTGCGTCCTCCGTTTCGACTACATGCTTCGCCGAAAAACCCGTCAGCATGCTAAGTTATACCAAAATATGGACTGATTACGGAAAGTTGGACCTTCTTATTTCCGCTAACAGCTGGTCACCCGAGCCCCAATCGAGTGCCGACAGCGTATGGTCAACTTTTTGCCTCACCCTACATGAACTCTGCTCCACTTCGACGCCCTGCAAACAAATTTCCATAGGAAAGAGATGCTCAGCACTCATCGGAAGTCGTACACGGAAGTGGATTGCTCGCAGGGACATGGCATGGATAAACTATCGCTCCCATCCAACGGCTACTCAGTGGGAATATTACCGATCCATCCGTAACCAATGCGTCCGCCTTGTACGAGAAGATAAGAGTGAGCATCAGCGTCAGCTTATGCATAAATTTTCATCCAATCCCAAATCCTTGTATAGTCACCTCAACGGTCTTCGACAAGTAAAGCACGGTGTCACTGCACTGACGACGCCCATAGGGATAACAAAGTCAGCGAACGAGGCAGCAGAAGTCCTGTGCCAGCAGTACGAATCCACATTCTCCGTTCCATCGATGCATACAACAATAGTACCTACTTCGGACTGACCCCCAACCTCCCTGACGACTGTTCAGTTCACTCCGGAGAAGGTCCTGGCGAAACACAAAGCCCTGCGGCTAGCGATCTCTCCTGGAGCTGATGGTTTCCACCCAAGTTGCTTGCGAGCGTGCGCTGCAGCTCTAGCTTTACCCCTAGCAAAGCTGTTCACCCATTTCTTCTAGCAAGGCAAACTTCCCATTGTTTGGAAATGTGATACTATTACACCAATCTACAAAGGCGGTACTCGCAGAGACCCGGCCAATTACCGACCGATAACTCTCCTCTCCACGATCTCCAATATGCTGGAATCGATCGTCGCAGACGCTTTAATAGACCACACGGAGGCCAAGAAACTGCTCTACGATTGCCAGCACGGCATCCGGCGGCAACGGTCGGGCCTGAGTAACCGACTACTTGCCAAGGATAGCTGGACGACTTCTGCCGACTCTGGCCTAGAATGGCATGTTATATTCCTGAATTTCGCCAAAGCCTTCGACAAGGTCGACCACAACCTTCCACTAAAGATACTGCTGTCTTACTGCGTTTCAGGGGCCTTGATGGACTGGATCCGGAACTAACTTCGAAACCTTACCGTCCAAGTACGCGTCGACGGAGCTTTGTCTCCCCGCATCCTCGCCACAAGCGGAGTTCCACAGGGATCTGTTCTCTGACCGGACCTCTTTTTAGCCTTCATTAATGAAGTCACACCGCAAGTGGCGTCTTCTCTGCTGTCGTGGGCGGATGACGCGAACCTGTGGCGCACAATAAACGTTCCGGACGATGCCCACGCACTTCAGACGGACCTAAACCGTCTACATCAATGGTCCATAGGAACCAAGCTTCCATTTAATGCTTCGAAATGTCGCGTTCTTTCTACCCGCCCTTCCGCTTTTTCTCCTATATATTACCTGGGAGCGTCTATCCTCCAGATCTCTTCACCCGAAAGACTTGGTTATCATTACCCAGACGAGTCTTTCCGTATCCGCTTCCTGTCGGAAAGCAGCTGCTGCTGCTAACCGCATGGTTGGATTGCTGAAACGAGCCTTCGGTCAAATTGACCCTAGCAATTTCTGCCTCTTCCTCAACGTTTTTCTTCGACCCCACTTGGAGTTTGCAACTTAGGCTTGGTGCCACTGGTTGCTGAAGGACCAACGTATACTCGAAGCCTCACAACGTCGAGTAACAAAACTGGTCCGAGGTCGCAAGCACCTAGATTATCCACAACGACTTCACTGCCTGGGCCTCTACTCGCTTAAGTACCGACGTCTTCGGGGCGACCTGATCCTCGTATTCATGATCTTATCCAACCCTGCACATCCTTGTTGCCACCTACTCACACTGCACCAATCGTGCTCCCACCTACGTGGCCACCCATTGAGGTTCACACAGCACAGTCGGCTGAACTGCAGACGACACTACTTCGCTTTGCGAATCTGCCGATCGTGGAATGCTCTGCCTGCCGATTAAGTCTTGGCACCCACTGTGGAGGATTTTAAGACCCGTCTGGACTGTCATCTGGCTGAGCTACACCGCGATATTCCCTGATATAACTACCTACTTGATGGAGTTTCTTTCCTTTTTTCTCTTCTACCTAATTCCTTTCCATAGCCGTTTCGGAGGGCGTGGTGGGATGTCACGTTTTGAGTCGGGGTGCATTCTGTGTAAGTGCCGCATAAGCCCGATGAAGATACGGTTAACACGCAAGTCCAACCCGCTATAAGGTTGCTTGGCTTTTCATCCGACCCGACGCGAACTCATTTTATCCTATGGGTCATGTAAAGCTCGAGCTTTTATTCGCAGTAAATACAATGTTCCAATGGACGGTTTCTTTTTGCGTAGAGCATTAATAACATATTCACAAAGAAGAACGTAACGAATACAAAATGCGGTCCATTGATGAGAGGTTGTTTAGCTACTCATCATAATATTGAGGGCACAATCTGTATAAACCTCCTTTGCTAACATTTCACGGGCGTCTCGTCTGAAGTCTCAATCTTTTCCGTCGGAGTTAGCATTTGGGAGTAAGGTGACAGAAACCTCCTTAAATTTCCCGGCATATGAACTCTAGCGTCGCCTAGGATCAACCACGCACTTGTTAGTTCAATTCTTCGATGTTTATCCTCCCCAGGCTCATCGACGACCACTGAGAACTTCGCACCATTGCAAGTCCTATCGTTGAATGGCCTGTCGCTTGGTTATTTATCGTCAAAATCAGCGTCGCCATGCAGACTCTGTGTCCCTCCTTCTTTTAGAGCGAGCCCTCGTGGTCACAAATAGAGTTTGAACCCACTCTCGTGTACCTGACACTCCAGCAAGCGCACTACTGCACCGGTCCATACACACACACGCAAGCACAAAACACGGCCGATTGGGAGATAGAGGGAGGCTGGTTCACTGTCTTTACTCAAGGTGAACGACGCTCACGAGCAAGAGAAAGGTCTGTGTTTGCGCCTGCTACTTGCCCGTTTCGGGTTGCATTAGTTCGATCACAGTGCAAGTAAAACATCGTCCAGCGCCTTACTTATACTTGCTAATCCACACAGCTAACAGATTTCTGGTGTTAGTATTGAACCTGACAGCGGTAGCAGTAGTAATTGCAGTAGTAGTCGTCATGCTTGTTGCTGCTGTTATTATTACTGTTGTTGTTGCGGGTTGTTTTGGTGGGTTGAGATGTTATTCGAGAGGACGTTGGCATGGTAATGCAGCACGACTGCACGGGTTGAGTTTTCAAAGTTATGGTGAGCTTGACAAAGGTACCAGCAGGACAGCCTCTTGTCAATCGTCCGTAGTTAAATTCTTTCCTTTCTTCTTTGCGAATATATTACCGATGTTCAACGCAGAAAGGAACTGTGTTCAGTTCGATTATAAAAACGCCCAGTTTGATTTGAAACTCGTACAGTTGGGGGAAAATGGTAAGTGAGCTGGTAAAATGCCGGCATATTTCATAACATAAGCCTGAAATCTTCAGTGACAAATTGCAAATTGTCAGAATAGAATCAGCCATGTATAGAACTTTATTTACAATCACTGTACACACAGCAACATCAGCTTTTCATGTTCCGACAAATAAATTATTTCATTTTATTTTCTTACGCTAGTGCGGTTCATGTGGTCAACCCCAACATAGGTATCAAGGTGCAACACATTCAATTGCAGCATCGTACACAGCCAACATAATAAGTAGAAAACAATACGGAGCAGCAAAACGCAAACAGACCGTAGCCACAGATCTGCCAGAATGCATAAAAATTAGGCTATTAGTGGCAGCAAATTGGGATGCGTCATACCTGCATAGCCAGTGTGGTTTCATCTCCCGTGAAGAACAGGGCCTTAACTTACCCTCATGTGTTCAGGCTAACAATCGCAGCAGCCAGACTAACTTCTATGGTTAGTTTTTCCCTCCATATGTCAAACCATCGGTTGGATACCATGGGTTAATCCAAGCAAAAGCATGAAATTGATGTGTTATTTTGACATAGACGGCACAACGTTATTCAGCACTGAAACCGATAGCCCACTTTCGCACATTAACTAGGGTGTAGCAACATTATTCACCCAATGGGTTCACCAGATTCAAGAAATATTATGTGCGCTTCTTGGATTTATAGTAATCGAACAGGGATTGAATGTCCAATCTCGACGCTGGCCAGCTTAACAGGAATTATGGGGTCGAAATTTAATCGCTGCAGTAAACTTAACTGAACTACACGAGGGCGAACTCTGCGGAATACAACCAGTCGCCTATAAGTCTTAAGTAAGGCAGCTGTATTTGTTGCAAAACCATGATACTCACTGCTAACTTTTGGCTCGCTGCTCTTCTCCTGCGGCGTCCGCACGTGATTACAGTTGCTAGACTGTCCAGCGGAGTCCCAGGAGCTACGTTCTGTGTTGAAACAAGCTGAAGATTTGATAAAGGTTGTTGTTGAGTCAGATGAAGACGAATCTGTAAGCCGGCTATTCAGAGATGCTGAAGAGGTGAGAGACAGGCAAGCAGAATCCACGTAGTCCGTATTGCTCTCATATGCTCGTGATGAGACTGTGGTATGCTGTTCGTTGACTCGGAACTTTGGTTTACACTGTAAATTGGATGAAATGCGACCACTTTAACCAAGTGCATTTCTGTGACATCTGGTGCTAAGCAAGGCTTATTTGAATGCAAGTTTAACGACCACAGATCAATTTCAAGCAACTTTTTCTCTTCTACCTGAGACGTAATAAGGGTAAAGGACTAGTTGGATGATAGGTTTGTTGGTTTTCCCTTCCTGTGTAAAAACATAACAGCAGAACTATTCAACTCCGAGGAGTTTAGACTAAAGCAGTCACCTCCAAATGTGGACTTTTACACCACAACTTTGTTAGGATAACTAAGCTAAGGTTTACACTACTTACTGACTGTTTACTGTATCTGGATAGCCGCATAGGAAAACTTATCCTTGGTCGTAGAGCTAATCACCTAGGTGTACCGCTCGAGCATGAGCTAATTATACTGGGAAACTGGTGAGATAGTGTTAGTGCAATCATTAAAGGGGAAAAAGGAAACTGCAGTTGATTGAAAATCGTCATTACGTGCAAGCAAAGATCTACTGGATTCAAGAGAGTGAACTGGTCATATGAGGAGAGCAATGGAGAGTGTGCCTATGAGGGCGGAGCGAAAAACTACGCATTTAATAACCAAATAAAACGGAAAATCGTAGAACCACTCTATAATTATCTTCTCTCTGCCCAAGCAGAGTACATTACCATATCACTTTCGTTTTAGGTCACCGTGTGTGTTTGCAGGTGCACTTTATGTTAAGGCACTGTTCCTTACAATCTATGTCCTAGCGCTCATTGCGATCTGAACCATGTTTTTATAATCTAACTACAGGTCATTCAATTGTTGTTGCACTTTCTCGCTGGTTAGTACCCGCCTTGTCTATTGAAATCGTCTGTAATTGATGCAAATTGCAATTATATACCTTACCCTCATTCGGCATCTGAATCGCTCCATTGCCTCCGCCTTTTCATGGTTCACTCCAGTTTTGCGCGATATATCGCTACAAGCCTCGCGACAACGTTCCACATGCTTGCTAAATGCGGCCTCGTTGAACGTGCGATTGCAATGACTGCACCGTTGCAGGCCTTCGAGGAACAGAAAAAAGACCGCAAAGGTGGGTAGATGTTACTGCCAATCAGAAGGTATACTGAACATTCACTCTTATTAACAGATTCGATTAACCTCCCAACTAATCCAGTGCGAAAAGATCCACTACACACTGCTGACTCCAGATCCGGATGATGAATGATTTAAAACCAGCGAATACTGGAAAATTCGTAAGTAAAGTAGATGTCAGGTGACAGCACATATAACGTGGTGCAATATACTCACATTTCATCAATGCCTTCAGAAGTAATTTAACTACTGTAATTAACGCATAATTTGAGTATTGCGTGTAGCGAACTCCTCTCTCTCTATTATCTACACGTACGTATTTAGTCGATGGTGGTCTACGATTACCCGTATTTCGGCGAGCACGAATGAAGCCATTGGCAAACCGGTCTAGTATAGCGAGGTAGCCTTGGATACGATTGTAGCAAAGACTACTGAGCAAATGGAACAAACTTAAAATACTGTTTTTCATATGTTGCCCATTGCACCCTTGTTTGTCAGGTTGCGAGCAAATTCGCACGTATATGTAGCTGTACCTATCTCTTCGTCCAAGTTATCACGTATGCGGTTGCTCGACGAGTCACTGTAGTCACGTTAGTTTCTGTTCCGCTTTATCAGTCGAGGTCTTCGTGTCACTCTTCGAGTATAGTCCATTGCGTTCCGTTAAGAGCATTCTGATATGCACAGTATAAATCCCGTATAGCCTAATCGTTTAATACAGATAATCTTTTAAAAGTGGAGCTATGTCCCGTTCACCACTATAGTGACCCTAATCACTTGCGTTGCCAAGAAGCTTTGTTTTAAATTCAGAGGATGAAGCACTTGAATTGGTAAATTAGCTCAGATATGTAAGCACCAACAGTGTAAAATAATTATCACAAAATGCTGCTGATTCAAGTTTGTCGTCACCAATTTTTATAAAAGCCTATTGCAAAAACTAGTATAAAGCTATTAAAGTATATGTTGGTGCAGAAGCGGAATTTTCCGAAGATTCATTCATGACCTTGGACAGGAGTGTTTCAGGACTTCATCGCCATCATTATACACGTTAGGCACAGGTGGAAAACACCTCAGCTATTACCTCGCAGTACCAAAGAATAGGACAAATGCAATACAGCCACGCCGGATGAGTCACCAGTAACGGCTGGACATTGTTCCAGAAAGCCAAAAGTCGGTTATTGCGCCGCAAAGAATAGTTATATTATGCCTAATACCTGAGATCGTGGTTGCAGGGGAGGCAAAGCGGGAGGGGTAGAGACAAATAAACTCACAACACAAACGCCACTGAGATCGGCTGCTAGCTGTGCTAACAGGTGCATGCAGATAAACGTGTTCGTCGTCCTTCGGTCTTCAATAAGGGAGTCGAGAAGCGCCAAGCGAGGCCAACTTCGAAGTAATGGCCTTTATTCCTCTTGACCAAATCACCACTTGGCCACCCCTCTTCTTCCAACCACACCTCGGGCGAGCAAACAACGCACGTCGCGGGAGTCGTTGGGCTGGCATGCGCAACCCGTAACCCAGCCATCGGAGGCTGGTGAGTGATATACTGGTGTTGAGCGGTTCGCTTCTTCTTGCCGTGCAATAAACAAGGCGTCGAACACGCTCATTGCTCACGCGGTGTTCCCATTAAATATGAGACAAACTGTGAAAACATCGGTGGTCGAAAGTAATTAGCCTCCTTATTTCAACTGATCTAATGGGCCAGATTTTAAAACCGTACGGCAGGATCAAATGTACCGCTGCATTACCTGCCCTGCCATGTAGATGGAATGATGTCGCTTCGGCGCCCTAGGTGGCGAATGTTAGTAAAAACGCCTTGTACTTTTGCTATTTGCTTTGTGAGTTCGTCTTCAATTCCAACGGTTGTTGAAGTGTTGAACGCCTTCTAGCTGATCCCCACCAAGGGTCAGCGCAAGTGATGGTCCCTACCAATCTTGGAGGAAAGCTTTGTAATTCATGGGTGCCAAGCATGACACGAAACGGATGACAGCTAGTGCTAATCTGTCTAATGCACTTTGGCACGCTTGTGGGCTGTCACAGATGTGGGCAAATCGTCAGTATACTTCAACTCAAGAGGTCGTTCTTCTGGAAGCAGCGCTACACCTTCAATATTGTGTCCTGTGAACGTGATCACCATGCGTTTGTCAATAGCAATTTCTCACATCGCCGGAGATATTGAAGAGTGGCGACAGCTTATCGTAAGCCCTCACTCTGCCCGAGGTACGCGGGTAAAGCGCTCGGATAAGAATACAACTTTCTCGGACACACCTTTCCTTAGCAGACAGTGATAAAGAGCACATCGATCTGCCGAATCAAAGTCATCCTTGATATTGAGTAACACGACAGCGGTGGGCCGCCAACATATGTGAAGGTGCTCCAGCAACTGACGCAAAGTGATGGCGTGATCGATGCAGCCTCGTTCTCGACGAAATCCGCTTGCTCCTCACGAATCTGGCCTTCACGGGTGCCAGTCAATCTTCGAAGGATTATAGAGGCAAACCATTTGGAGATGACGGAGATCAGGCTGTTTCCTCTGTGGTTGCCGCATTCCGAACGCGTGCCTCCCTTGAAGATCTGGACAATAACGCATCGGCTCCAGTCGGTTGCGACAGTTTTCTATTTCCCCAGTTTCACTAATAATTCGTGTATATAATCAACAATAACAGGGCCCAGAATTTGAAGAGGGCTGTATAATGGCCATATGGTCTTGCGGCTTTACTCGATTTCAGCAGTTCGACCTTACATTCGACTTCTGAAAGAGAGCGCGGATTTGAAACGGGTAGCCCACGGAGCAGCGTGATCAACGGCTGGTGAAGAATCTAACAATTCCGGCTGAATAAATTACTTTTAAAATGTTCATCCCAGCGTTCCAAGCGTTTTGATAAGTTGTTGACAGGCTGTTCACTCAAATCACAATAGCTTCACTAATACCAGGTCTCCTGCTGTCCGTTTTCCGTATCATAGCTTACGATGGGTACCAAGGGCAGCGGTCCCCACCACCACCGCCATCACCAGCAGCAGCAGCAGCATTCGCGGTCCCTCCGTCGGGAGCTAACGCACACTTTACTCATGCATCCCTTTGGGATGTTTTCCTGGCATAATATACACCAATCAATGGGAATTTACCCATTCAGCTGCTCCTATGGAGCTAGGTAAATTAAGCGCACGACCAGGCACTTGGAACAGCGAATCGAGAAACATTTATAAACGTTGCTCGTCACCAACAGGACGGAACTAATTTGAGTGCAATCACTAACCATCTGATCTACACCGGTCATCCGATGGATAGGCGCAAGTCATTTGAGATCCTCTATCGAGTGCCATAACAGCTACACCATCCGTCAGGGGCTCGGCTAGTTGTCACCGCTAAAGCGTTATGCATCAGGTTGACAAAACCTAATCTAAGCATTCAGAAGAATCATGTCCATGCATTAGAACTACCCTGGCCAGCCACTAACAAAAATGGATCGGGTCTCACTCAGTGGTGTCACATGCCTTCAGTCACTTGACCACATGACATCTTAGATTTACCATTTAAAATTTTTGTTTGATTAATACTTGCTCTCTGTTGCCGGAATGAACTCTTCTCAATGTATATCTCTATACCATGCCTGATGAAAAATAAACCAAAAACAATTGTTCGCTTTAAGCGTACCGCTTATGTTTCTCCTTGCAATATACATACTATAACTGGCACTTAGTCCATTTATATGGTATGATCACGTATTGTCGACACCTAGAATATGACACAGGTTTAACAGTCCGACAAACCCATTTCAATGGTGTCAAATTCTTGAAAGATACTTGGAACCGATCGAGTAGTCATGAGTTCAGAGAGGTTTGAAAACAATCGGTTGGTATAGTATTTTTGGTAACGTTTCGCCAATAAAATAATGGCTTCGTCAGACCAGGTGAATCAGTGTGCAATTGGTGTGGGATTTTATAGCGAACAGGGCCGATAACCGCGGTACCCGAGTCTTGAGCCATGAGTCATTACAGGAACAGTTCGGGATGTCACCTCAGGTGGTTTAAACACAGTGGGAATAGTCCAGGTGTTCCTTTGTGCGTCATGACATTGACGGATAGGCCCATAGTGTTGACAATGGGAGTCGGTTTGCAGTTTTCAATCTGATCCACGCATCGATGCTCGTCAAGCTGGCCGGCCTAAAACCGCCCGCCATGCATTAGGGAATTCTACCCCCTCAATTCTATTCACGCAGTCATCAGATTTGGCAATTTCCACCGCCTCAGCAATCAGCCGCTGGGATGTTGATCGTATGCCTCTCCTAATGACCTCTACGTTTTCGAGGTCTATCTGGTGACCCGTGTCTAATGCATGCACAGCTACGGCCGAGTCTCTTACTATCGCCTGGTATTCGAACTCGTTTCTTGGTAGTCTTGCAATGCGCCTCCTATGCTCCGAAATTCGTGTGCGTAATTCTCTCGCTGTTTGGCCTATATACACATGTGCACAGTCTTTACATTTAATTTTATAAACACAGTTAGTCGTCCTATCCTTGGGAAGGGGGGTCCTTCAGGTGTACCAGCGCCGAACGTAACGTTCGACCTCGGTGAAAGATCACCCTTATATTTTCCTTGTTTAGTACCCTCCGAATTGCCTCCGACGTGCCTCCCTTGTACGGAATTCCGACCGTCCCTATCCACTCGGCTGTGGGTCTTGACTGCCGGTGTAGCACCTTATGCAATTGACGTTTAACTAGTCGCCGTGGGTAACCACTTACTAATAGTTTGCTCATTGCCACTTTCCGCGCAGCCTTTTTGTCCTCCTCCATTGTGCACATGGTTTGTGCCCTGTAGAACAGTGTTGAGGCTATCCCAGTGTAAACCTGTTTCGGATGAACCGATGTGTAGTGGAGTATGCCGTCAGTATCCGTTGGCTTGAGATTTAGTGTCGTCTTTAAATTTCCCCCATTCCTGTGAACTAGGCAGTCAAGAAATTGTATTGTACCGC